CAACTCACAAGTCATTCTATTCCTTAAGGAAATCTCATCTCAGAATGCTCTCCATTGTTCAAGTTTGATTTAAAATATTAAGGAAAATTATCTGCCATCAGTAATTCTTTCCATCAGTAGAAATGAGGTTCTCAAAATAACTGTTAGAAAGCCATTACTTTATTTACTTCTTAAACAATAACAGCCAATAGATATGCTCACTTGCAAATAAATAAGAAGCCTACACAAATTGGTGCCATCCAAAAACTACATTTTGTTCCTTTAAATAACAGATCATTCTTTTAACTACCCACTCGACACCAAAGTAGAAATACGACTTGCCATCTAGAAATACTATTCATAGGAATTATCTAGGAGGGTGTTGTTGTTGTTGTTGTTTTAAGTATTGGGAACAAATTCATGTATTTTTACCTGAAACTCCTCCATAGATCTCTTCTGCTATCCTAGCCGCTTCTTTCCTATTTCCTTTGACGATATAGAAATGGGTTAGGAGAGCCAAAAAAACTTTGATTAAAAGTTTGAAGAAAAAAAAGGTAGCAAACATTGTAATAAAAATGTTTTTAAAGCCATAGAAAGCAGGACCATCGTCCATTTTGGCTTACTCTGTATAGGTTCCCGGGACTGCAAAATTTCACCGAGTTATAATTGGTATCATATGACATCTATTTTAAACCTTCTAGCACTCGGTGCTCCTATTACTGAGAACTCAGTTTGCAGGTTCTAATCTAACTGTGATTTGGCGACTGCATGTGTTGACATCCATGGTCAATGTTAAATGCACTACAAAATCTTCCTTCAAACTAGAAGCACCCAATAGTTCCAGAACCATGTGACTAAATAAATACAGTTTAACAAACAGATTTCACATCCACATTTCACATCCTATTTTTGCTACACTATCGTGGGAAGTAGGGCTGGAAAGGTAAACCAACTTCTCAGATCCTATGCGCACATAGTAAGCTATTTGACATTCATACAATGAAGTGCTCTATGGATTATATCGTGCCCCCCCCCCACTGCCAAATGTGTTGGAATCCTATACTATACTTGTTGATGTAACCCTGTTGTTTTCTTTTTTAATTAAATCTAATCTAATCACTTCTAGATTACTAAAAGAGATATGAGAGACACAGACACAGGCACACACAGGGGAAGACAGACTGCCCTATGGGGTAGCTCTCTTCCTATAGGGTTGCTATGACTCGAAATCAACTGGATGGCAATGGGTTCGACCCCGACTTGGCTTTTTAACCTCCAGAATGGTGAGAAAGTACATTTCTGTTCGTTAAAGCCACCCACTTGTGATATTTGTAGTACAGCAACCACAGGAGATTAAGACAGGTGCAAAGACACTTGTACAATGCTGGGGTCGCTCTTAATGTGAAATCTTATTCCCTGTAACATTTCATTTTCTCTCCATTTGGACATTTATGGAAGAGAAAGCCCAAATCTAAGATCTCACCAGTTCCAAACGACTGTCTACGCAAAGGTGGTACTGACTAAAAGGCCCACCTTGGATGCCACTCCAAGCAGAATGCCACTCTGGGAGCACAAGACCACTGTCTGAAATGCAGTTTCATCCATGAGAAGGCCTCGCAAGGCTCCTGATCATTCACTTTCCACTTCAAGTGATAGTTAAACGTCACATTCTCTTTCTCAAAAATGTGGGCTGTCCCCATAGAATGAAGATAATGAAATGGATGGGGAAAAAAAAACAAAACAGGTCTGGGGTGAAGGCCTCAAATGGCCTAGGAATCCCCTCTCCCATAGCTGGCCAGCGTTCACTTTTAGCTTTCACTGTTTGACATGCACCAGCTGGCCAACAGATGTGCAAGGGAATGACTTTGACTTTCCTCATCATTGTAGGTCTTTCTTTTATTCTTTGCTATCTTAGAGTTTCTAAATTCTACAAACTGTTGAAAAAGACAAGCCAAAATGAAAACTCTAAGAGCTGACAAAATGAAATCTTCTTTAACAAATGGTTTCTGCAAAACTAGGGGAGATTCTCCTAGCGCTCAGGCAAATTAGAAGAATGACTACTTATGTAAGAACTGTTTCCTTCCATTCAAAAGGCTGACCCTGGAGAAGACAACCTTGAGCTGCAACACCCAGCACATCCACCTCATGTCTCACAGCAAGAAAACAAAACCAAGCCCACTGCCATCGAGTTGATTCCAACTCATAGAAACCCCCATTGGGTTTCTGAGGCGGTAAATCTTTATCAAAGTAGATTGCCCAGTCTTCCTTCCGTGGAGTGGCTGGTGAGTTTGAACCACCAACCTTCTGGTTAGCAGTCAGATGCCTTAGGCACTGTGCCAGTAGAGCTCCCGTAAAGCTCTAGTATTATTCTGCTATCAAGGAACAGCTACTAACATATAAACTTTATCCACCAAGCTTAGATGACCTGCCAGAATGCCAGTGTACAGAAATAACCAGAGGAACGTAGTATTTTAGCTCTTCTCACGTTTCTCTTTCAATTGTACTCTCAGAAGGCAATCATTTGCCCTTGTCAGACCAGTGAGGTACATTGTGCTACTGTATTTTACTACACACTCGTCAGCTTTGTTTTGGCCTTTTCAATTGAAACATGGCTGTCTTTTCTGTATTACCAGCAAAGTGGTATCTTAGGTTTCTCTAGAGAAACAGAAGCAGTAAGACACACACGTGTGCACGTATACAATTTATTTGGAGGAATTGGCTCATGCAATTGTGGCAGCTAACAGGTCCAAAATTCAAAGGGCAGGCGACAGGCTGGAAATTCCTGCCATTGTATGTCCGTCCCCAAATAGGTAAGTTAGGTCCTGATGTCTGTCATAGTCTGAAACAAGAATCCTCCCTTGAGAAACCTTTGGTTTTATTCTTAAGGCCTTCAACTGATTGGACAAGGCTCACTTACACTGGAGGGTAATCTGCTTTACTTAAGGCCAAATGATTTCAAGCGCTAATCACATGTGTCTCACAGCACCATCTAGACTAGTGTTTGATCCAACAGATGGGCACCATAGCCTAGCCAAGTTGGCACATAAAATTAACTATCACAGTTGGCCTTAAGCAGCTCAACTGTTTAAAGGTTCAAATGGAGTATCTCGATTATTCCGGAGAGATTACACATACTCTATTTGAGCACCACATTCGAGATGAGCGCAAAATGCTGCTGAACAGATGGCTAATGTACAATACCTTTTACAAGAGATGAACTCATCGACAACACCAGGCTTTCTCAGCCACAGCACTAGTGCCATTTTGGGCCAAATAATCTTTTGCTGTGAGGACTGTGCTGTATATTGTAGAATGTTTAGTCACATCCCTAGACTCTCCTCACTGGATGCTAATCCCTCACCCAGCTGTGATGACCAGAACTGTCTCTAGACACTGCCAGATGCCCCTCCCCCCAGCTGAGAACCACGGAGGCAACTCCCCAAAGTACTGTTGACTACATATCAACACTTTCTGTATAGAACTTGAATTTTCATAATTTCATATGCAGGGATGATGCAATTTAACATCTGTTGTTAGGAGCCATTGAATCAGTTCTGACTCACGGTGAACAAACAGAAGGAAACACTGCCCCGTCCTGCACCATCCACACAGTCCTTGCTGTGCTTGAGCCCATTGCTGCAGCCACTGAGTCAGTCCATCTCATTGAGGGTCTTCCTCTTTTTTGCTGACCCTCCACTTTACCAACATGATATCCTTCTCCAGGGACTGGTCCATCCAGATAACATTTCCAAAGTACGTGAGATGAAGTGTCACCATCCTCACTTCTAAGGAGCAGAACTGGCTGGCCTTCTTCCAAGAGAGATTTGTTTGTTCTTCTGGCAGTCCATGGTATATTCAGTATTCTTTGCCAACACCCTAATTCAAGTGTATCAATCCTTCTTCAGTCTTCCTTATTCACTGTTTAGCTTTCACATACATATGAGGTGACTGAAAACACCATAACTTAGGTCAGGCACACTTTAGTCCTCAAGATGACATCTTTGCTTTTCAACCCTTTAAAGAGGTCTTTTGCAGCAAATTTGCCCAGTATATGTTGTTTGATTTCTTGCTGCTTCCATGGATGCTGAGTGTGGATCCAAGTAAAACAAAATCCTTGACAACTTCAATCTTTTATCATGATGCTGCTTATTGGTCCAATTGTGAAGATGATTGTTTTATGTTGAGGTGTAATCCATACTGAAGGCTGAAGTCTTTGATCTTCATCAGCAATACTTCAAGTCCTCTTTGCTTTCAACAAGCAAGGTTGTCATCTCCATTATCACAGGTTGTTAATGAATCTTCCTCCAATTTTGATGCAGCATTCTTCCTCATGGAACATCTAGCCAGATTCTTTTAGGAATGGCAGGATAAGGAGGCCTTTAAAAATAATTCACAAGAGTAAACATAGACCTGTAAGACCAGCAGTTTGCCAACAGTACGTGTTGATGTAAATAAATCAAGACATATGAACGAAGCTGACTTTTCACCACTGCTTCCAGCCAAAGGGGGGGAAGAGCTGAGTGTCTGGAAAGGAAATCAAAATTCCAATTTCTGGAGTCTCTCAGGGTGGCATACAGTTAAGCTTTTGATTACTAGCAAAAGTTTTGGCCATTTGAAATCACCCAGAAGTACCCTGGGAGACAGGACTGGTGACCTGCTTCTAAAAGGCCTAAGCCTTGAAAACCCTTTGTGTGGTAGTTGTGCATCAACTCGGCTAGGCCTGGTTTTGAATGGCTGGGTAGCTGGATGTAGTTATTCCCCATGAGGAAACTGGTGATTAACTCCATGGCGGAATCTGCCACAAGCAGCTGAGTAGCTGCTTTAGGGATGTGGTCTGCTTCCAGTATATAAGCAGAAGATTTTTGGAACGCTTGGACCCTGCATGTACCATCTTGGGACTGTCTCTGGGCATGAATTAGTGCCCTGCCGTCTTGTTTGGTAATCTTAGGACTGTGCCTTTTTACGTGTTGACCTTGGGTTTGCCAGCCTCAGCAGCCAGCAGCTGCCTGAGTTAAGAAAAGCCTCCAGCTTCAGTGGGCCAGGAGCAAGAGGCAAAGCTGAAGCCCAAGGTTGAGGGGCTTTCACCGAGCCCCTAGAGCTGGCACTTTGAACTCGGACTTCCAGCTTCCTAAACTGTAAGAAAATAAACTCCTGTTTGTTCAAACCATCCCATTTGTGGTATGTTTGTTAGAGTGGCACATGAAGTAACCAAAACACTATGGTACCCAGTTCTATTCTCAGACACACACAGAGTTATCATGTGTCAGAATCACTGTGACAGCAACGAACAACATTCAGAAGCTACAAACTTTAATGACAAATACTCTAGTATTACAAAAAAAAAAAATCAATCTCTCTTAAATAGCTCATGAGATATAAAGTACACAACAGTTTGGAGAAGTATTGTCTACCTCACCAGATAATTCTCATGCAGTGAAAGACAAGGGTCTCTTCAAATCAAGAAACAAAGGTGCAATTTGAACTTGTTATTCCATGAGAACGAGAGAGAATATACAAGAAATAAAAACAGCATCATCTGAAGGATTTTTCCTACTTATGAACAGACCAACCAACACATCAGAGTCCACTGAAAAAGAAAGCTGGGGGTGTGTGCTGCTCTGCTAGCAAATAATACTCCATTCGTAAAGCAAGACAAACTCAGAAAATCTTCAAAATGTCATTTTGGGCTTTATTTTTGGGCATGTGGCATGTTTTAATAAATGTGTAACTTTTTATAATACTAAAGGAAATACAGAATATTTTTTAAAATCCTTATCATCATAAGCTCATCTTCAAATAAATAGTAAGTAGCAAGCTAGCACGATATGCTGTCACATACTGACCAGTGCAATGCTGAGTGATAATCAAGGGATCCAGGACCCTGGAAAATTAAGGTTTACAGATGACAAGCAAATTTACTTTCCATTTGCTTAAAAAAAAAAAAATCAAAGGAAAATAATTTAAATTAGCAAATGACGTATTTCACGTGCAAAGACAGCTTTAAATCCTTTAACATTAACACCAAGTACACAAAATAATTTTGAGGGAAAAAAAAAATGACAGCACAGTAGTATCCTCTAAAAAATTGCTGAATAAATAAAACCAAATGTTAGTTTCTCACTTTATCACAAATGTTGGCACTGTTACATTTCATATTTTTATCTAATTCCACTTCTCCACATGAAAATCCAGTAAGATTTAATGGTTTGGATTAGTCCCCCCTCCTTTTTTCTTTCTAACCAACCAACCAGCCAACCCACCGCCATTGAGTTGGTTCCGACTCAAAGGAACTCTACTTTCTAGATTTTATAAATTACATGCTGGCATTTGTTGTTTTAGTACAAACAAAATAGTCTGTTTCTTCTACATCAGTGGCAACCAATTCAGTCATGTTAAGATACCTCTAAGCAGCTTTGTGAATGCTATCGTTAAAGATCCTGTGAAGAACCACAATACTGACAGAATTTATCTAGTCCACCCACAAGTGCCTTGTCCTTTTGATTTCTGTCTTTTGTCACAAAAATACAATCTAACGAGTTCTAAGAATGAATACACTGTGTGGCTAATTTGGGGTTAAAAAACCCATGGCTCTGGGCAACCATCATTACAGTTCATAGCCACCCACAAAGAGATCATGTTTCTCAAAATTTCCAACTCTGATTGATAAAAACAAAAAATTCTGGGGTAGAGACTTTGCACACTGACAACACTTATCAACATGAGTGAGGTCACACGTGAAGGGTAGTGACTTATTGCCAAGGTGTGGGTAGCAGCTCGATACGGGGATGGCACACCTTGTCCATTCTGCTCAGAACACAAGAAGGCAATTACTGAAAACAGAGTCATGCGCTGACAGGTGTGGATTTGATCAGCGACAGTGATATCTGTATTTCAAATTAGTATTGCAAATGTAAAAAGTCTTTTCATAAAGAAAACAGACGACAAAGGCTCTACCTAGGAAAACGTATAAAGTAGGATCAAAGAAGTGCTATATGGGGGCATGCTGGACCTTTTACACCACGGCATGCCAACTGTTCCTACAATGAATAATAAGCCATGTGAGTACAAAGCAAAGAGGGAATGCACCTCTGGTCCCTACCAGCAGGAAGTACCCAGCTTCACGTTCTAACAGAATAGGTGTTCAAAAGATGCTGACAAGTAAGGGACCATCTTACTGGAGACACCTGCTGATGATGTGACACTTACTGAGTGTACCCAATAAATGTTTAAGAACAAGACACAACAGTTCACGTAGTTCTATTTACTAAGGAAATCTTGTAAACATCTGGTGAATGTCTAATGAACGGTACAACATTAAAAACTGGCCAAAACATACCCAGAAAACGTTTGGCCGTTCAGCACCCAAAACTCCCAAAATATGTTAAAACACATCTGCTAGAGGGATTTTATTAGTCTCAAAAACTGCTTACCTGAGTGGCTTAAATTTTCTCTCAAATTATAAATAAGTGCAAAGAGTTTGTACCCTCAGGGATTGCATACATTTTTTATCTTGCCTCAAAACAAAACACTAAATGAAAGAGAGGTAGCATAACCTATTAAATGAACTTTGAAAACAACAGCTCGGTTTATTTTCAGTAGTCTCAGTAGAGCTAGCACAGATGTTTACTATCTTAGTACCCAGGCTGTCTTCTACCTGGGTCCAGAGTTACTCTTCGCCCTTTCTTTTACTGCAAGAATATTCATGAGTCCAGGCCCCGTTGGGCCCTGAGGCATCTACTGCAACATCAATGATAGAATCTGGGGTCATCCATCGCAGGAACGTGAGGAAGAGAAAGTTCAAGACCACCAACAAAGCAAAAATAGAGCCTGCTACTGGGCCACAGTGAGAGATGAGTCGATCCAGTCGTTTGTCTATGGGTAAAACAGCTTCCATGGCCACGTGGTCATACACCTGGAGGGAAGAAGACAGGGAATGAGCACTCTGACCCACGACTGACTCCATGGACCCACGGCAAACGACAATGTATACTTTCAGGGGCATTTTCTACATCAATGCACAGTGAGCTTGCTTACCTTCTGTCGTTGCTTTGTTTTCATATTAATGATGTAACAAAATGAATGAAGTTAATCAGAGTAATTCCTGCAATTCAATAGAGAATACTCATTCTGGGCAAGATATTGGGCCAGACATTGTGTGATCCAAAGACGAACAGGCCATGGATCCTCTCCTCTAGGGGATTATAATCAATTTTTAGAATTCCAAGTTGCCCTGGTGGTGCAGTGGCTGAAGCACTCAGCTGCTAATTGAAAAGTTGGCAATTTGAACCCACCAGCTACTCCACAGAAGAAAGATACAGCAGTCTACTCCCCTAAAATCTAAAGCCTAGGAAACCATATGAGGCAGTTCAACTCTGTCCTGTAAGGTTGCTATGAGTCAGAAATGACTCGATGGCATACAAGAACTAGAATTCCAAGTCTTGAGAAGTCTGGGCAGCTTTTCAGATCACCACTCTGGTAGCAAAAGGAACTCAGCAGGGACTTCCTAAAGCAGGGCTAGCCTTCTAAGGCTCCTTGAATGCTAAGATAACATTCACCTGTATCAGACATCTACTCCAAGACAGATTTACAATCTAGTGTGCTTCTGGGCAAACCGGGCTCTTCCTTTAAACACCCATGTGAGACCGTGTCTCTGAGCACTGGACGGTGAAAACATGTAGAAATACCTCATGGATTTCAAGTAAAAAGGAGAGGAAAGAGATGGGGGAAATTGTAGTAGATGGTATAGGGCAAACATTGGCGTTATAGTCTAAAACATTAAAAACCAAAAACTTTAAAAACATACTTGTTTAAAAATAACATACCAAACGGGTCAACACTCATGTTCTTTACTTGATCATGACCTGTGCTCATTCTCCAGTTACCAGAGCCGTCAACAATCCCCTTGGAACTCAAAGATACAACATACAATGCAAGTTCTAAAGACCAACAGCCTGGGAAAAGGACAGGGCATCTCCATCTAGCTCTTCTACCCTGAGGCCATTTCCAATGCAAACTTTCAAATTATTATGCTGAGACTGGCAAGTTGTAATTCAAAGAGTTTTTCCAGCCTGAATTCCCATTGAATTTTGTGACCCATTTTCTAAATGGCACAGGTAAACGGAGAGGGACAAGTTGCAAAGGACTGAAGTATCTGGTGTGGAACAGGTAGAATTAACGAGCAGCTATAAACCAACCTGGCTGCCCCCTTTAATTTCTAGGGCAATTTGTGATTTTAAGTGACAAAATACTACTACTACTACTATGAAGAGAATGTCATGGATGACAAATCATTATAGATAAGGATTTACTGTATTCTAAATGTATACAAACCCACTGCCATCGAGTTGATTCCAACTCATACCGACCCCTATTGGGTTTCTGAGGTGGTAAATCTTTATAGAAGTAGATTGCCTAGTCTTGCTTCTGCGGAGTGGCTGGTGGGTCTGAACCACCAGCCTTCTAGTTAGCAGTCAGATGCCTTACCCACTGTGCTACCAGAGCTCCCCTAAATGTATACAACTGAGTATAAAATACTGTATCTATATCTATCTAGCTAGCTATATATAGCCATCTACTTCCGTAGTGATTAGTGATACTGCCTCAGAAACCCAAGGAGTTGGATCTGACTCGATGGCAGTGAGTTTGGTTTTTTGGTTTATATATACATACATATACATATGCACATATATATAAACACATATATAGCATTTTATACTCTAGTATATATATAAAGGGGAATTCTGGTGGTGTAGTGCCTAAGGCATTTACTGCTAACCAGACGGCTGGCAGTTCAAACCCACCAGTCACTTCTCAGAAAGAAGACTAGGCAATCTACTTCTGCAGAGATACTGCCTTGGAAACCCAAGGAGGGAAGGGTTGCTATGAGTCGGAATCAACTTGATGGCTATAAAGGAGCTGTAGTGGTGTAGTGCCTAAGGCATCTGACTGCTAACCAGAAGGTTGGTGGTTCAAACTCACCAGCCACTCCACAGAAGTAAGACTGGGCAATTTGCTTCCGTAAAGATTTACTGCTTTGGAAACCCAAAGGGGGTCGCTATGAGTCAGAACTGACTTGATGGCCTGATGGCAGTTATTTTATTTATTTAGTTTGTGTGTATGTGTGTGTGTGTGTGTGTGTGTGTGTATGTTTTCCTATTACTTTAAGTGTTATAACTAAAAAAAATTTTGTGGTTTAAAAAAAAATCCTAATTAGTTCCTTTAAAACATGCTGACAATTGCCACCATTAAATTCTTGCCTCTGAATTTATTATTTGCTATAGTTTTGACTTCCAAGGTTTACATGATGTCTATCAAGGTCAGGTTACAACTTAATGAGCTGTGGTCCCTAATCAGGGTGGAGATTTAGATGGCAATCACCAATAAAAACACACCTGTTGAACCAAACATCCCTGCTAACCAAAACTCCAGCTCTGCTCCTAAAGGGTGCTATTAGAATCCACGGAGTGGCTGGACAGCAGTGGCAAGGAATGTGAAGGTGAAATGCTGAGTGTGAAAAGCCACCTAGGTGATCCTGATAGGCTCTCTAGACAACAGACAATCAGGGTTAGACTTCAACTTCCAAAGAGAAACAAGGAAAAGGCAGCCATTTCATATGAGTGGTCATATTATTTTGGTGTAAAATGTAATATATGTCAATTTCTTTTTTTTTCATTCTCAATTTTTATCATTTTATCAGTTTCCAGTAACAAATTACCACAAACTCAATGACTTAAAACAACAAACTTATTCTGTCACAGTTACAGAAGGCAGAAGTCTCAGGACCATCAGGTCTACATCGAGGTGTCTACAGGGCCATGAGGCTAAAAGAGTAACCCTTCTTTCCTTTTTTCTACCCTCTAATGGCTGCTGGCTTTCTTTGGCTTGTGGCCCTATCACTTCAGTCCTCAAGACCAGTCTCTTGAAATCTCTGCCTTCTGCGTGTAGTTAAATCTCCCTCATATAATAGGATATATGTGATTGCATTTAGGGCCTTCCCTGATAATCCACACTAACCTTCTCATCTCAAGAACTTTCATTTAATCACATGTACGAAGTCTTTACACTGCAATCTTTGAAGAGAAGAGTTTGCACACTTGTATTCAAAAGTGGCTTCACCTCAAGTGCTACAATTTCCATTCCAAACCCGTTAGTAAAGCCTTATAGTAATGAGCTATTCTCTTTACTCAGCTCCCTCGTCAGCCACTTCAGGTGGTAACGTGTTGATCCACAGAACAAACTAACAGCATGATGCAAGCACCTGTCTAAATGACTGCCTTCCCCACACTGCTGTCTTTCTGGTTCACAAGTAAGAGGCAGAGCTGCTTCCACTCAGCCTGCCACTTGGTGTTAAGAGGGGTGAGGCGGACAAAGGAGACTGACTTAAACACAGGATGGAAGTGTGTGGAATGAACGAAGTCTCTAACTCAAAAGGGGGAGCATCTGCCCCGACTGTACTTTCCTTCCTAAGAATATTAATCTCTTCTCTGGCCTCATCCTTCTGAGGATTCTCTGTTGCTGCTTTTCTTTCCCATGGTTTCTTCAACATTCATTGTGTTCTTTTTAAGTCTACCTTTTTATATTCTCAATCAGCCCCCAAAATGCAAAAATCCTTTTCCTGTAGAAAACTACAGCTGTTGTTGTTAGAAAACTACAGTAGCTAGCAATATTGACACAAGACCAAACCAGTTCAGTCGTGGCCAAGGCAATGAAATTGGAACAGACCTGAATGTGTAAAATGTGGGTGTGCTGGAAAAATAACTGGAATGAAAAATTATGAGTGGAAGCCCTGGAATGGGAGATTCAGAAGAGGTGCAGTTAGCCTTTTCAGGACCGAGGTGGGAGACTGGATTACTGCCAGGACTGTGGAGTGTGACACACATTCAAAGCAGTGCAGTCGGCCCCATCTTTGAGCCGGTTTCTGCCTCTGCCTGTCAAGAGATCTGGTGCTATGCAACGTGCACACTGCCTTTGTTTTCTAAGAGGAAGATTACGTTTCTAAGCAGGATGTCAACCCGTAATTTCAGTCTGTTCTGGTTTCACTTTATCAATCATGACTGAACCTGAAAGAACCAGTTGGAAGCCCTGCTTAAGCCCATCATACACCAAAAGTAATGTAACATTCATTTCTTTTCATTTGAAATTGATTTCATAAACTTAAGCAATAGAACATAAATGGTAAGCCCATACGTAAGGAAAAGCAAATGTGTACACGTGACACCAAGGAAGAGTTCCAACCTAATCTTCAAAGATCCTTTCTTGGCCAACAAACATATGAAGAAATGCTCACGATCATTAGCTATTAGAGAGATGCAAATCAAAACAACAATGAGATACCATCTTGCTCCAGCACTAGTA